TCAAGGGCCTTTCGCTTGTAGACGTGCCACATAGATCTACCTGCTTAAAATGTGGTTGAACCTGTAAGCACGGCAGAGGCCCTGGCACCCAGGGCAAGAATGAGGTGCAGTGCACAGCACACATCAGCGAGTCCAGGGGGACGGCCGTCTACCTCTGTGTGTGTATAGGGGCAAGAGCCTCCCTGTCCTTCCTACACCAAGCTGAGAAGCAGCTTTTCCCCTGGATACCACACAGCCCCTCAAGGGCGGGGGTGAGGGATATGGGGATATTCTCTCCAGAGACAAGGGCAAAAACAACTTTTCTCTGCCTGTACAGGTAGGTTTTCGGATGACACAGATTCTGGCCAGGGGAGCACCTTGGGCTCCCAACCTAACAGTCTGTGGAATAGGAAGGCACCCGCTAGAGCGGCTCTTTCCCCACCATCCAAACCCTGAAGCCTGGAGGTATCCCAGGAGGGGCTCAGTTGACTCAGTGGGGAGGCCATCACCTTGATGCTCCCCTGCAGGCAGTGTTCCAGGTCTCTCCCGGAAGGATCGTCTGTGAAGAGGGCAAAGCCAGAGTGGGAGGACTTCCTCATGCCTGTCTCTTGGTTCAGATGCTGGAGGAACTCATCAACTGTGGAGGAGCCATCAAAACCGACCACCTACACGAGAGAGGGGTTAGTCCCAGAGAAAACTTCTGGAGAGGAGCTTGTTAGGGCTAGTGGAGGGCTGTGAGTCTGGAAGGTGGGAAGGCTTGGCTGCAAGGAGCAAGGGCAAATGCAAAAGCCGAAGGAAGCTGGTTTCTCTAGTCACGTGCAGAGGGTGCATGCTTCAGGGACAAGCCCGCCCGCTGTAAGCTGGAGTCAGCAGCTCTGCTGCCCCTTCGCCGCCACGCTTTTGGAGGCCTTTGGTCCCACCACTTTCTTGGTCAATGTCTCAGCTTCCCTGTTCACGCTGCGGCTTTGAAAGATCTACTTCCCACGTGCCAAACAGTGAAGCACTTTTGCAATTCAAGCTCCTTTCTCCCTCCACACGGAGTTCACAGTCCCACTCCCACCTCCAAATCCCAGGCCCGCCCTTCTGCTGCTCTGCCTATTGAGAATCTGTCAAGCCTAAGGAGGTTTAACACCCACCTGGCCCGAAGGTGTTCTCTGGGCTAGGGACAGGAGAGGACCGAGGACAGGGAAGCCAGCACGGCCTCCTCACCTGGTAAGTCCCATTGGCGAAATGCACAGGGATGCTGAAGGGCGAGGAGTGGTGGAAGGGGTTGCGCAGCAGAATGGACACCACTTCCATGCGGGACGGTCTGGCCTCCCGCTCCCCAGTCTGCAGCGTCCGCTCCACGGCCCGTTGGCAGTAGGCGGCATACTGGCCAATTTCATTTCTAAAGAGACGGGGGGAAGAAAGAAGATCCCAGAGAATCCACTCATCCCTGCTACTCTGACCTCTTGGCCACTGACCCCGACCCAGCCGAGACCCCATCTGCAGCGGGGCTGGCGGTGAGAAAAGCCCTGAATGCTCTGGTCTGTGGTGTTCATCTGTCTTTATGGGTCTATCTGTTGCAGGCGGCTCGCACAGATATTTTCTCCAGAAGCCAGAAGAACGGGGCCACAAACCATGAAAATGTAGGAATGATCTGGGGACACCCACAAGGCATGCATGCGTACACGGACTAGGGTGCAGAGCCGCCCAGGCACGGCCAGACCTCCACGCGCCCACTCGTGTACACAGCGACGAGCAAGTCTCTGTGACTGCCGTGCCAACCTCAGGGGCAGGGCAGCCTGGTCCCTCCCGGTCCCCCCCCGCCCCCCGGGCCCGCTTCCCCATGCACGGGCAGCAGGAAAGGATGCTCACGCACCTGGGGTCCGCGTGGCGCTGGAGCTGCTGTTTGATGTACCAGAGGAAGTGGTGCTGAGGCAGGAAGAGTGGGGTGCACAGAGCCAGGAGCTGCCAGCACTGCGGGGGCACAGGCAGCATGGGGCGGGTGCCGGCTCTACAGCACCTCCCTCACAGCCCTGAGCTATGGAGCCCGTAGCACTCGCCAAACCAGGGCTCCCCCCCAGCCCTCTGTGGCCGCCAGGATGGCCAACCTGGTCAGGCTTCATCCATCACACGATCAGACCAGGCACAGCCGTATGGAGGCAGCCCACGGGCTACCATGCTTAGAGGGTGCCTGCCCAGCCCCCTCCGTCCACCTTCCTGCCCCCCCACTCCTGCAGCCCCTGCCCATGGCTCTGGTCGGCTGCTTGCCCCGGGGCTACTCACCTGTATGAGGGAGCACTTCTGAGGCGGGCGGCAGCTGGTCTGCTTCATGAGCTGGCAGTAGATCTCGCTCTGCAGCTCGGGGTGAACCAGGCAGACCTGCAGGGCCGTCTGGGCCAGAGACACGTGGTAGTCCACCGAGGCTGCTTCCACAGGCACGTTGATGAAGAGCTGGCAGGACTGGCCGGGCAAGGATGGTGGGCACGGGCAGACCCACAGCCCCTCGGTTAGTATCCTTGGTTGACAGTGGGCAGACCGGGCCACTGTCCCCCCAGGGCCATCCCCCCAGGGAGGCTCCGGTTCACCTTCTAAGAGGGAGCACTGCCACTGCCCGCGGCGTCTTGTGCCCGCTACTTTGGGATAGCATCCTGCCTTCTTTAAATGTGTCCATTACATAAGCAAGACATCCATTTTTTTAAAGACAATATTCAGATGGACACAAAGTAGGTCAGACTCTCTCAGGTTCAGAAGCAACCTAAACCTGGCCTTTCCTGCTGTTCACTCCAGGAGGAGGGGAGTTTCTCAAGGGGGAGTCTCACTGGCTCTTCCCCAGGAAGCCGTGAACGCCTCCCCGCCGTAACGGGCCGAGGCGAGGACCCGGGGGTGGGGGGACTCTTTCCCTTCCACTCAGATCCCTCTGTGAGCTACCCCTACCTGCACGGGTTCCACCCCGGCATCACCACGGTGGGCAAACTGCTCCAGGGAGAGCCTGGCCCACTGCGAGGGGGCACCTGTTGGTGGGCCTGCGCTCTGTTCCCGTTTTACCTTGAAGAGCTTGAGAGCCTCCGTCTGCAGGGCCTCCGAGGGCAGGGTGGTGAGGGAGGTGTACAGCCCGTCTTTGCTGTAACACAGCATGGGGTGCCTCCAGAGAGGAGAGTCTGCCCAAAGCACAGCACCGGGAGCGGAAGCAGTTACTGGTGAGGGGACTTGCCTCCCACCCCCACCCCCTGTGGATCTGTGAGGAAAACAACGACGGACTGTCCGGACACACGAGTCGCGCTGGGTTTATATCCACAGAGTGTGGGGCACGCAGCTGTACCCCTGCCTCTAGCGGGCTCACAAGCGAGGCTCACAGGAAGGTGCCTACTGCTTTGCTCGCAGGGAGGCAACAGGGGTGAGTACGTGTGCTTGTGGGTATCTGAGTGCAAGCATGTGTGTGCAGGGGCGGCCCCTCCCTGCAGGGTCGGGGCTGGATGGAGAGCGCACACCAGCCTGACGTCAACAAGTCTCGGAGGAGCAGGGAAGGGGTGTATGGCGTGTGCCATTAGTTCCTCAGGGTCCTGAGGATCAGAAGCGAAACAAAGACCTTGTAACACCCCAGGCTTGGGTTGGTCTAATCCCAATGTAGGCTTCATTCTTGAGTTAAACTCTTACTATGCACCAGCTACCTTCTTTCCTCAGCCCTTGGCCCAGCAGGCAAACCCACAGTGAGCAAAGTAAAACGTTGACCTGGGTCACTGGAAAGTCTGTTCCCAAATCAATGCCCCCAGATACAGCCTGGTCACCTCAGTATCTTCACCAGAAACAGGGGCTCTGGAGCTTGGATGGGAATGTCCTTCTTTCTATGGCTTAGACAGTTTTAAAACAGCTTCGGGGTACAGAAATGCTTTCTTTGGGTTTTTGACCAACCATTACCCAGCCACCACCCTCCAACCCACGCAGGGATGGCCACCCTTGCCTTACCTGGGTCTCCCTCCCCGTCCATGAGTTTTCCAATGAGCTGCTCATAGGTAGTGCCGACCCGAGCACTGCTGCCCCCTGCAGCCACTGTGAGGTGGTACAACCACGTGTCCTAGAAGGGGATGGAAGCCATCGGCCGAGACTGGAGTGGGAAAAATGGAGACGAGGGCTCCAGAGAAGTTTCCTTGAAGGGGCCAAGCCCAGGGTGAGCCTAGGCTAGTCTGGTTGGCACAAGTCAAGGCCACCAGTCTCTAAGAGGAAAGACTTGGGATCACGCAACATGAACCCAAGTTGCTAAGCTTGAGGCGCTATCTCATGGTCCCAGTGGAGAGACACTGGTCCCTGGGAGGGAATTCACTATAAGGAATAGTCCCAATCAGGGAATGCTAGTTGCCAAAATGTCCAGGAAGGAAAGAAACTTGAATTTGGGGAGGTTGGGAAGGAAGGAAGGGAAGATGGGAATCACAGGACGAAGCTCGGCCGTGGAGGCCCAGCCCCCTCGCTTACCTTTTCGTGCTTGGTGCCAATGAGGAGGTAGGTGGGGCTGTGCTCTGGGGGGTGGATCGCCAGGGTGCAGTGGGAGGAGAGCAACCGCCGGCTTCCTCCAGCCTCGTAGTCCTCGTCTGAGTCACAGGATCGATCTACTTCCTCTATGCGCGCGTCCCGCACAGGCAGATGGCCCAGGGGTCGCTGTGGGCAGGAGCCTTCCGTGAATGGGAGAGCCAGCAGGGAGCAGGGCAGTCTCCTCTCTCTGAACCCTCAAGCCCTGTTGGGCTGGGAATCATGGATGTGGTCGGGTCATGGAATGAGGGGGTTAACTACAGCTCCCTGGCTGAGGCTTGCCTGAAGAAGCACAGACAGACCCCACAGGTAGAATCTGTGGGCCATGCACACTGGCCATTCAGGCTACAGGGACCCAGCCAGCTCTGTACACTTATGGCTGCCTGAGGTGGGGTCAGTGGAAAAGCCGGGGCCTTCCATCAAGGACATGGAGCGACAGGAATGTGGTCTGGGGAAAGCAGAGTGTGGGTGCTGTCAGGAAGCCAGGAAGTACCTTGTCCTCATGACTTCGATAGTAGTAGAAGGTTCTCCCAACAAGAGCACACCAGACCAGCTTGGAATGGCCATGTTTTACCTATAGGACAGAAATTAAGACCAAGTGATTAGAACCAGGTAATCCCAGAAGTAAATCCAGGACTGCCAAAGAGAAGCCAGAGGAAGGCAGGTCTCAGAACCCCTGGTCAAACTCAGGTCCTTAGTGGAGATGCCACCCAGATGCCCTACTAACAGGACCGGCCCTTTCACATGGAGAGTCCGTGGTGTGTACCCTGTGACACCCCATCCATCCTTGCACCACACGCCATTAAAAGATTAACCAGGCCAATCGATGTCCTGTCCCAGGGAATACGGACATAGCTGTAAGGATGCTGAGGAGGGGGTGCAGGGCCATGCATGGGGGGCTAAAGCCCCCGGACAAATGTAAATCATGAGGGCACAGCAGGTGCACAAAAGGTGGAGACTGACTCGAGCACAGACTGAAAACGGAAGCAGAGAGCGAGCCAAGAGCACCGAGCTGGCTCACACAAGTGGCCTCGCTTCCTCATGGCGTTCTGGCCTAGGTCATGTGCTTCCTTGTTTACTTCCATTTTCTTGAGGATAACAAGTACTTCTCTGCTCCTTATAGCCAGAAGAGTCCTAACTCAAACACCTTTAGGTGTTTGGCATGGCCTGGCATCGGACATCTTTGAGTGGCCACACCTACCTCGCCTACCTCACGGCTTCCCACTATTCATACTGAGGCACGGTGGGCGCAGGTGGGCGTGGGCAGCAACTCCTAATAACTCCTAATAACCTCAAAATAGGTCCTTTCCCTCCTGTCCTGACAACAGCTGTGGTGCTCACAACCCTGATCTCTGTGTTCATTCACTGACACCCTGAGTGGTCAGACCGTGTTTGAGGCCCACCCGCTAGTCCCATGAGCCAAGTCCTGCAGACGGGCTGTAAGGAGCGCCGCACTCGGGCACCTGGCTCCCCGGCCTCTCGGGAGGCCCGCGTTCCTCCTCACCAGCCCCTCTCCTACCTTGGTCAGCCAGCCCTTCACAGTGGGTTTGGTGCCACCCCGCGGCGGGGCTGGAGGCCCCACAGCCTGGACCTTCAGCAGGCTCTGCAGTACTCGGATCCACTCCTCTAGCAGGCCCGGCGAGTCCGCCGTCAGGTAATAGGTTTTCTTCTCAGAGATAAGCTGTGGAGGCGGGATTGGGGGCGGGGGCGGGGGGACGGCAGGATGGCATGCCGGGGACCGGGCTCCGAGGTGGGCACAGATCCCTGAACCCACCGGGCCTTCCCTCTCCCCACCCCGGGACCCCCTCCCTTCTTTCCCTTGTTCCCTTCTCCCCGTCTCTGCTACCTTCACTCTGTCTCGCACATTCAGTCTCTTCTTCCCTCCGGGTACTCACAAATTAGGGTCACGTCCACATGTCTCTAACACATGCTCATTTTGCCCCAGCTTTGCTCCATCATAGTCCCATCCAAACCCAGCACCTCTTTGTCCAAACCACTGGCTGCTAGGAGCCCGCCCACCTGGAATGTCTGTGCACCTTCCCCTCGAACAATTTGGCAACGGGAATTCAGTTCCACTTGACCCTGAGGTTTCCGGATGACATCACTCTGTAAAGACAGGAATGGGGAGGAACACGGTAGGAGCCTTCCCAGAGCACATCATTCTCCCTCAGACCTTACTCCAGGCCACAGGCAAAGGGGAAGGTGATTCCCAAGCTTTCCTGGGCTATGGTATGGTGGGTAACTTGTTCTGGATCCTGGTTCTAGCTAAATGGAGCAACGATTAGAGACATGGGTCCGTCTGACCCAGGCCTCAAAAAGTATAGATTGAGTCTTTAAAATTGGATCAGAAGCCACCATGTTATTACTGAGCTATAAAGCCTTTAAATTCTTTCTACTCCATCCTTTGCCAAGTGTGGCAAATAAGTGGCATACACATCACCATTCCCCTTCCCAGTGTGCCCACACACCTTACTTATCAGCCAGAGCATGCCCACTCATTGAGTGATTCGGGCCCGGAATCCAGACACATGGCCTTTTCGCTTTCTTTCTACCATGAATGTTGGTTCCCCAAGGAGGTCCTGCCAAACTAGATCTCAACATCCAAGGCTCCCTAATTCCAAACTGTACAGGAAGGCGGTAGAGGAGGTGGTGGGCTCTCTGTTAGAGCAACCCAGATGATGTGAGGGCAACCTGGGAACAATTCTTTTACAGGACCAGGAATTCAAAGAAATGAACTTCTGAAGTAAGAAGGAATCACCAAGCCAACTCATCTAGAACTGCCTTTCACTGCTCTGTGCCTGATTTCACTCCAAGAGCCAGTGACCAGCCTCATGGTCCCATGTGAGACTCAAAGCCCCCGGCGCCCAGCCAGGCTGGCTCTCCCCACCTGCCAGACCTCTGCCCTCTGCCCTCTGGCCGGGGGCCCCACCGACCCTTCTTCTAGCCCCTGCTGAAGAGTTCTGAGTTTGGGCTGGGGTCCTTTTGACTACTGTCCTGGGGGAGGAGGGTCTCACCGGGGACTTGTAGTACATAATCTGTCCCTGTCTCAGGACAAACCAGCGCCTCTTCCACGTCTTCACCCGGCTCCCCAGTTTTAGCAGGTAGCCTGACTTCTCCAATGACTCCTGCAGGGGTGAGAGGGTATGGCGGGGGGAGGGAGAGGAGTGGACAGAAAGGGGGAGTCACTTGGGGTTTGTAGATGTCATACAAGCCAAAATGGCCCCATTGAGTTACTGCTTTGTCGTCAATTAAAAACAAATTCTTGAGAAGCTACTAGATGTATTTTCAGGGCACCATGCCCTGCTAAGGGTTCAGACACAATTAGCATAAAGCAAGGTGGCCCCGTCAGGGGCTGCATAAGGGAGAAGCTGGTCAGGGAGGGCGTCCCGAAGAGCCAGACTGAAATGGCCTTGGAAGAAAAAGTCAGCTTACCTTCAAAGCCACGCCAAGGGGAAGAAAAGGCCATGGTAGGCAGCAGGAAGGGAGGGGGAGGTTTGGGGAAGAAGGGGCACATCAGCCAGGGTGGGGCTAGGAAATGAGGGATGTGGGTTTGCAGCACAGCTCTGAGCCTTGGGCTTCTTATCCAGAAAATGGGGTCCTCATCCTGAGAGGATGGTGAGGACGCGTGAGACAAGGCATGAGGAGTACTAAGCACTGAGCACGGTGTGTGGTGCTCTGTAAGAACCCCAGAAATGTCCGCTCTCGGCATTCCAGGGTGAGAACACATGGGAACGTGTGGGGCCGGTGGGCCACCGTGGGAAAGCCCACTGGCTACTCCTGGCTCGATGAGGAGCTCACTGGGTGCCCTCTCCTTCCTCACAGGGTCTGTGTGTACCGGACTTGGGACCTGCCCGTCCCCCAGCCCACTCCCTGGCGCCTCACACCTGTCACGGCCCCCCCGCCCCCGCCCTCCCCCCCCCCCCGGGCCCCCCCCCCCCCCATCTCAGGCTGAGAGCTCCAGGCAGGCAGCCTCTGCTGGAGGCCTGCTCGCATCCCTCCAGGCTCACCCCGCCCAGCCCCGGCCCCTCGGTGGAGTAGGAGGAGGTCCGCTGCAGTTTGTGCTCTGGCTCGGAGTAGTCGCTGTCCAGCGAGCAGGCGTCCGGGGGGATGGCGTAGTCACCTTCCGAGCTCAGCGAGGACATGGAGACGCCTGCCAAGGGAGGAGGAGTCAAGGCCTGGGTCCCAGCCCGGGAGCCGCAGCAGCCTTCCTCACCGACCCCGGGACCTCTGAGTCTGGAGCTGAGGTTCATGGGCAGAGAACAAGCAGGGGGCCCTGGATAAGCCCACCCATGGGAGGAGAAGGTTGGCCACTTGCTGCCCTGCACCCTCCTGCTCCCTCCCCTGTACCTCTCTTGATGGCCCGGGGGCTGCCCAGTCCGCTGGTCTTCCTGGACTCAGAGCAGGGGACCGAAGTTCGGAAACTCGCCTGAGAGCTGCGGTCATCATCGGACCCAGAGGATTCGTCCACAAAAGGCACGGTGCTGATCTGCGTGGCTCTCTATAAGACAGGCGCCCTCCCCCGCTGCAGCTCACCTTGCAGAACACAGCCCTTCCCGTGGGCACTTGTACTCCTGCTCCTGGGGCCCAGGGTGTGGCCAACATGGCCTGTCGGGGCACATGGGTGCCATCACCTGCCTGGGACACTCCAGACAACCGTTCCGTCTCCACCTTACTCTCGTGTCCTCACCTCCATGCTTCTCCTTAGGCCTCCCGCCCCCCACACGCCATCCTCCCTGGTCCCCAAAGGACCTGCCCCATCCAGGCTGAGTACTCAGCTGCTGTGACCCTTCCTCCTGCCACTAGGGGGCCAGAATGCCCCGCGGGCCAAGCCCGAGCCCGGCGCTTTAAACGCAGTATGCGGATAAGGAAACAGGCCATCTCAGTTGGCAAATATTTAAAAAAACTATCTCAACGTTGGTGAAAGTGTGGGGAAAAAGATACTCTGTAGCGTGATAAAGGCTTTTAGAAGGTAACTTGGCACTACCTAACAAAATTTACGATATGCCTATCATTTGCCCATAAATTTCCCCTCTAGAACTCTGTCCTCTGGAAATACACATACATGATACTTAAGTGCACAGAGATGTGTTTGCGCAATGATGTTCATCACAACACTGACTGTAGAGAAAAACAAGAGATAGGACCTAAACTGTCCACCAGTGGAGGGCGGGTTAGAGTAGTTATGGGGCATCCACACCAACGGGTACCGGATGGCCCTATAAGAGGAAGCGGAGCTGTGCACGAAGGTGCAGCCGGGAGATCGGACTCATGGTCATGCGAACAAGCAAGGGGTGAGAGGACATGTATGTTATGATCCTCACTGTGTGCATGTGCGTGGGTGTGTGTGTGAGTGTGTGTCTGTGTGTGTGCGAGAGAGACAGGGACACGGACACAGACAATACCTGTCAGTACACTGGTAAATGCATCAGAGAGCCTCACAGAATAAACACCAAACCATGAATGATAGTTGCCTCCGGGGTTAGAAATTAGGGAAAAGCAATGCGAAAGAAAATTTCACTTTTGGCT